TCTTTGATATTAAATATTGATAGCAGACCTACTACTATAAATGATTTAAAAAATGAAGTTAACATTTTAAAATTTGAGATAAATATTTTTTGAAAAAACCAAGAAAAAATAAATACCATATTATTAAAATTAGAATTAAATAATGCAACTACTGAAATATCAGTAAAAGAGGATAAGAAGATAATAATTAATAATTTAGAACAATCTTTTTTAAATTCCTTGCAAAAGGCTATTATGCATAAATGGTTTATAACTATTACTTTAAATATAAAGCGAGAATATACTTTGTCTAATCTTACTACTCTTGTTGATTGAATCTTATGACAACATCTCCGTTAGCATCTTGACTAACTTGTTCTACATCCTGATTCATTACACGGATATGAATTTTTGCCTGGATCTGAAACAATCGCAATAATCTATCGAATTCATTTCAAAATTATGAATACTTTATGTCTGAATATTAAAAATAATATGAAACCGGAAGATAAATCTATAATTATAGAAACTAACCTGCTAGCTTCAAATATAGCTATAATAGAACTATAAAATGGGATGAAATAGAGACATATGCTACTGCATGAAAATTTAGATATAAAATGGGATGAAATAGAGACATTTGCCACTGCATGAAAATTTAGATATTAGTAATCTAAAATGTGTAGTCGCTACATTATAATCATTATTACGTGAGGCCTAGTACAGCGTTGGTGCTTTACCCATTTTTTAGGACATTATAGAAGCATTACTTTATCATAACTTTTCAATATAAATTTATTTTTATAATTGACATGATAGAAAAAGATGCGGCCATGGAGCACGCGCATCTTCATCTTACCGTACTTTCCATACTCCCTACTTTTAAAGCGTTTTAAGTAGAATGGTTCATTACACTTTAGTTGATAAAAATATATTTTTGTAGGTCAGAGAGTCATTTTAATTATGATTTATTGTTCATTGATTAAAAAAAAACTTAAGTTTATTTAGCCATAAATTCTTCTAATTTTATAATATTTAACAGTCAAAATATAAATGGAATAAGTTGAGCACGTTATTAATTTTGTCATTGAGTACCACATATATTTTCCTATGTAAATTTACATGCATGCCACTTAATTCTTATCTATTTACATAGCTAACATATATTTTAATCTTTACAAGTATGTTAACTTCTTAAAATTTAAAATAGTGATATCTTTTATTTTATATGAAGGATTTGATTGATATTAATATAAAAATCAAAAATTAAATGTTAAATATGTAAATACATAAGAATTGGGTGGTATGTATGTAAATGCAACATTTTACTATAATGCCATCAAAAGCTAATATAATAAGCAATTATACACTTTTGGTTACGTATTTTTACATACGGTGAATGTACCTAATAATTTTTGCAGTAAAACAGCGACACATCAAAGGAAAAAAAAAAATGAAGCATTTTTTAAGAGTAAAAAAGAATGAATGGTGATTAAAAAAATATTTTATAATTAAAAGGCAATAGAATTGCTAAATTTACCTGCAAAATAAAATCAACATTGAACTTCTTTCTTTACGCACAATAGAATATAACTTTCTTAAGAAAGCCTCTTACGTGTAAACAAACACGCTGAGGAAACCTACTCAAAGCTCAAGTTAAATCAACTTCACCGGTGCATCATGATGTATACAAAATCAAAACAATCAAATTAAATAAAGTGAAGTCATTCTTTCTAGTTGGCGTTTATATATATATATATATATATCTATATAACGCCGCGTATTCAGATCAGTTTGTTGGGCATCTGATTGTCGGTCGTAAGACCCCTCTAATATGGGGTTCGATTCCCCCTAAGTGTAGGGTGTGGTATAAAGAGAGAGTTACAACAAAACGAATTTCAATTTCTTGTATTATGTTTCTCACCCAGTTTCACATCAAGAGACTTTACGTGGAAAGAGACGATCATATTCCGAAACATATATTAAATAAAATGACCATGAAGCAAATTCAGCAATGGCAGATTGCTTTCAGAAACAATACAGAATCTGTTCAAATCAAATCAGTGTACATACTGAGGATCCAACCCTTAATTTATCAACTCTTAAACATTTTTTTTTTCTATGTATTTACAGCAATAAGAGCGATTCAGATTTTTTTCCTCCAAATATTTGGAGTAAAGAAGAGAAATTCTTTATTTTCAGAATGAATGCAGCATTTTTTGTCATCAATCCTCCACTATATTGGGTCCTCTGTATTTTGCTCCAACGACGAGCAATTCCTCCGGCTGCCCGGCTCTCTCTTGGAGCCAACTGTACCCCTCACCTTCACCAAGATCTAGCCCTGACTCACCTGATATTGAAAGTCATTCATTGTTAGAAAGTACAATTTATTAACTTACAAATGCAATAAACTTTATATATATATATATATATATATACCAACTAAATCTTTCATATCACATAAGAAATACTATCATTTTAGCTTTTAAAAAGTGAAATATAACTTTTCATGCATGAATAAGATGACGCATATAAAAAAATTGAGAGGAACGTACGTAAATCTCCCTCTTCTTAATGAAAACATACTGTATAATATTAATTGCAATTTGTATGTAAATATTCCTTTGTTTTAATGAAAACATACTATGTATCATATTAATTGCATTATAAAACCATAACTCTGAATCATTCTCACTCAATTATCAACTTCCTTTGGGTGACAAAGGAGAAGAACTCCAAGGGTGTGGTCGCTGAAGCTATTTGTAAAATTGCTATAGAACTATTGCGGGAAAAATAGAACTTCTAAAAATTATTGAAAGTATTGTTTTTCTTCTTGAAAAAGTCTGGCATTAACTTTCCTCCAAGCACAATATTTTAATAGATTGATTATATAAAGCTATTTCTCAAAATAGAAATATTTGAAAATCAATAAAAAAAACTTGAAGTTCAATAGGAAGATATTGTGCAGAAATGCTCTCCATTGAACTATTTTGAGGTGTTAATTTCTTTTCAATGAAATGTTATCTCTAATTTACAAAAAAAAAAAAAAATTACAAATTTGCACCTATACCAATAACTTTACCCCATCTCCATCCCCAATTTGCTTCATACCAATTTTAAGTCACTTGGGCCAGTTTTCATTGCCTTAAAATCATGTTCTTTTCCATTAACAATGCCATGATTCATTTCATGAAATTCACACATCCACTATTAATGCTTTCTTCATAAAAAATAAAAATAGCAAACACAGTCGCGGGAGCTACAGGAAGATTGAAATACTATATTAGGCCATTAAGAAAAAAGTACAGAATGTTGAAAGCAACATCAATCAACATCCTACTACCGTAACCTTTATATATAAGCTGGTGCTGTCTATAGGGACAAGCAGCTTCACCCTTTATTTACTGAGAAGATAACTTATAAAGGTTTTTTGAAAAAAAGATTTACATATCTAACACCCAAAATTCAACTTTTAAGAACATGCTACTTTGCCTATGAATGAGAATGTCTATTCCACTTTTTTAAAATTAAAACCATGGTATTTTTAATGTGATATGAAAGATTTGGGTGGTGAATGTAAAAAAGTAAATTTTAAGTGTGAGATATGTAAATACATAGGAATTAGATGGTGCATATGTGAATGCCTCTTTTTGAAAAGGTTAGGCCACCTCCTGAAATAGTTTGTCTATAAAAAATGTTGAACAACAGCAAAAAGAGGCCAATATCGCAACTTTAAACCCAAGGAGAACTAAACCAAGCCCTCTCATGTCAATTAAAAACTCGGCCACATTTCCTGTGATACAAACAGATTTCTAGAAAGAAACTAACATTTCCTTTTCCTGCAAAGAAGCATAAAAAAGAAGTGGCATTTACATACCATCACCCAATTCCTATGTATTTACACATCTAGCAACTATACTTTACTTCTTTACATTTGTCCCACCCAAATATTTCGTATTACATTAAAAATACCACCATTTTAACTTTTAAAAGTTGAAATACAAGTTTTCAAGCATAGGGTCTCCATGTAAAAATTGAAGTTTGGTTTTAGATGTATAACAAATAGGTATTGAGTGGTATGTACGTAAATTATCCAATAAAAGAAATACCTGCATATTTCGCATAAGCATGAGCATAATAATATGTGCAGTTCCGTTCAGGATCAGAGTATGGAGGACCGAGCACATCAAGCACTACACACGCGGTCTTAGCAGTAAAGCAATGCATGTTGCCTCCAGAAGATGGGTAAAGTATGGAAGTCTCACATGGAGCAGTAAACACATCATCAGTCTTCACTTTCGCCAGCCGCTCGCCTGATGGCAAATCCACTGCAAAGGAAACAAATTTCACTGATTAATATAGCATTCAAAAACAGTTAAAGTATTAAACTAAATTCAGAAGTTATTACCATGAGAAGGTTCATGGGAATCTTGGGAAACCACAACCCAGTCATAGGATTTGATGTGCATGGAGCCAAGCAATAGTTTACTGAAGACTGTCATTCCTGGGTGATTATGTAAAGGAAGAACGGCAGAAGGGGGCAAACAGAAAATACCAATCTGCAATGAAGAACACAAAAGTTCAGAACACTGAATTACGGACGAGGAAATTACACAAGTAATTGAAGTAAATGTATCCTACCGAGAATTCAGGACACTCGTAAACATGGAGGTATGTTATGGGCGGAGGTCCGCCATTTTCGATGCTTTTAAAATATGGAAGCTTTGGGGATAGACCAACATCTGCTGGTTTCATACTATCTGCAGCATGTATGACGAGATTAATCAACATAAAATGCGAAATTTGGATTAAAAAAAAAAATTAAAAGTTGCAGGGGATACTACGCAGTACATTTCACTGCGAACAAAAAAAACTGTTTTAATTATGAAGGCGCACTCAAAATCCAGGAATAAAAGAGCCTCAAACATCCCACGTAATATAAGAAAAAGTAATCAGAAAGTCAAGTCGAGAGCAAAAAATTTAAGAATTTAAGTCATTCTATCCCATTGAAGATTACAAATTGAAAATTGAAAATTCTAAGAGCTTGAAACATCCCTTGTTTCAATATCCAATCATCCATTGAAGCCCTCATAAGAAAAAAAAAACAATTTTTTTTTTTAAAGAAAACAGTACCGAGAATGGATCGAATACGGGCAACATCTTCTGGGGGCGGAACAAACCCAGCTGTTCCCTCGGCGAACACAGCTTTACACGTATCAAAGAGCCGCTGCACCACAGACGGCATACAATCGGGCCTCCTCTTCCTCCGCTTACCTTTCTTCGATGGCAGATTGTTCTTCTTCGCAACCAATTGTGCGCCGGAGCTTTTGCGAAGAAACTCGTCCTCCAATCTCATCGAGAAGCGAGACCACGAAAAGAAAGCGAGCAAGGCCCGGCAGGGATTCGGTCCTCTGGAGTTCAAAAAAGATGGAAAGATGGAATTTTGATGAAATGATGGAAGTGATGGCAGAATTCTTTTACAAGATATGAAGAAGGAATAGGAAAAGTAAATCTACAGGATCTGTGCCATTTGACAAAACCAGGTAGAAGAATTTGGGCGTTGGGAAGATATGTTTTTCATTCTTGTTGAGATTGATGGATACTTTGGGGTATATGAGGGGCGAGGGGTTTGAATATGGAGGCAAAAACCATTATTTATTGGGTGACAAAACCAGGGGCCACGAGGAGAAGGGCGGCAGACTGCATTCCTGTGGGCTGTTCAAACTGCCTTTTAGATTATTCATCCCCAATATAAAACCGTTCTCTCTCCATCCCGCGTGGAGAAAAATGTCAAAAAGGGGATTTTTTTAAAGTTCTGCTCCGTATTAAAGAAAAGTGAGGTTTACTTTATGTTTTATAGTCATAAATCCTACGTGTCAAAATATTATACATATATATATATATATATATATATATAAATGATTTTAATTTCTTCACAATCCATTATATATATATAATAATAATAAAAGTACTGATCATTGTCCACATTAAAAAATATTTTCTTTGGCAAAATTAGCAGTTCAATTGAACGCTTTAAACGTTGGCAATTTATTTTCAATCAATATGTTATACCTTTACATTAATAAAAATAATTATATAATTTTTTGAAAAAATAATTTTATATGTATTTTGAGCTCAATTATGATCTAGTTTATGACTAAGCTTGAGGGTTTTCTAGAGGCTCTATTATATATATATTTTGGCCGAACCAACACCAAAATATAACTTCTAATATCTCTTCGCCTATTGTGGTTTCATGCATTTGACTTTAAATCCTTAGTATATGGTCGAGTTGATTAAAGTCACGTAAGTAAAGCCCAAACTGAGTCCTTATAGGATTGAAAATGTCTCAAGCAACCATTTAAGCCTAGAAACTTAAATCTTCTATGAATTGTGTAGTTCCCCTTCCCAACTCCTTTCTTTGGTTCATAAAAGAGCATATTGGGTATCACGATTACCTTGGGCCAAGATAGGGTTATCCCTTAAAAGAAAAGATCAAATGAAAAGACCACCAACAGAAATTTAAAATATGCATTAAAATCCAAATCGAAAAAAATTAAAAGCTAAAATTTCAAAAATCCAAACCAACAAAAATTAAACACATTAAAATCAATTTAAAAAAAGATCAAGTCCAATAAAACCATTTTCAATTAAACTCAATAAAATAAATTTCATTAAAAAATAAATTTATTAAAATTTACCTTAACCAAAATAAAATTAATTAATATTAATTCCACCAAATGATAAATCTATTAAAAATAAATATCACAAAAATTAAACTCAATCAAGCCAACTTATTAAATTAACCTCAACAAAGTAAAACAACCAATCATATATTTTAAGATCAACCTCAAACCAATTCAACTAAATTCACCAAAATAAGCCTTAATTCACTAAAATCAAAGAAATCAAACACAATGTCAAAAATGGTTAAATACACTATAAGTGAAAAAAAAGAAAGTCAAGGATAAAAAAATTCAACAAATACAAAAAAAAAATTTAAAAATTCAACCCTCATTAAATTTTCAAACTAAAGCCAACATAATCAAAAGGCCACCCAACTGAGTCTAACAAACAAAATTCAAATCTTTGAAATGAAATTGAAATGAACCGACCTAAGACTAAGATTGATAAAATAGAACATATAGATAGTGAAATCACCTAAAATTGAATTAAAATAAGCATAAAGAAATTATAACTATCTATTAATTTTTTAAGACAAGGAAATCAATTAAACCGTCATTTTTAAAATTAATATTACTCAACACATTGAAGTCGTCTAAATTAAACCCTCAGACCATCATCCTAAAATCCAAAACCTAAGCCTAAGCTCAAACCCTAATACCCATTAAACATAAGTCAACCCTAAAGGCCCATGGCCTAAAATTAAAACCACAACCCATTAACCCTTTAAGAAATTAAGAGATACAAAACCAAATTAAATCAGCCCCCTAAATCTAGTCCAAGCACTATAGAACAAAAATCCATCATCACTTCAAGCCAAGTCTTCCACTTGGCACCCCTAGCCACCAAAATCCAAATGAACTCAAAGGACACCATATCTAAGTCCGTTGCCCAAAACAAAAATCTCCCCAGTGAAGCCCAAGCTCTCCCCATGCCTCCTTCATGCCCATTGGAGCAACCTTGCTTGAAATATCAAAAAAGGGAGAGCCCCCATTCTCTACCCAAAGATTCTACCCATCTCTTCACAAGTGCAGCCAAAGCCTCAAGAGTATCCTCAGAGCATCCTCAAGCTCTTCCAAAGATCCCCATGGTTTTCCTTAGAATTTTAATGGCAAGTCTAAGAATTGCTAAAGAGATCAATGCTCCCGGATCCCTTCGTGAAATTTAAAAATTCTTGCTCCCAAGTACTCCAACAGACTTTAGCTTTTATTTCACATCATTTTCGGACCATCTTGTCAACCACTTCAAAACTTGAATTAGCTTCACAAAGATTCAAAATCACTTTCCTGATAAAAAAACCCACAATTCACGCAGCCTCTATCCCTATCCAACACCAAAGAGCTTTGGTCGAGCTCATATATATAGGCAATTCCAATCCAATTTGAAGCAAGGAGGAGGTGTGTGAGCTCAAGGCGGTTTTCACTAACCAACCCATTTGATGCCTCACCTCCTGGGCTCACATAATGGCCAATAACTTCATATTTGCATTTGGGTTTAGTCTTTTATGAAGAGAATTATGGATCCATGCATAGCTAGCCATATGAATGTGTTCGCTAGGGTTAGATGGCATCCATTCCTGTATATTTGGAATAGACAGCCATTATTAAATTGTTTGGCAAAACAACAGAGGAGAAAATAGTTGGATCAGAACCAACACGGTAGCTTACATAGAAAGTGCACCGAACCAACATATGACACATGGGATTTCAGAGATGCTCAGGATGACGAGGCTACGCGTTGGATAAGCAAAAATTTTGGGATTTCCTGATTTAATTAACTCCAGAAAATTTAAAAACCCTTTTAGAATTAATAACTAAATAAATAAAAATAAAAACTGAAGCAAAAATACCTCTGATCTCAGTAAACTGAGGGGAGTTAAACAAAAGCAAAACTTAGATAATTCGACTTAAAAATAATTTCAAGATTAATTAAAATCATTAATGAGTAATTAAATTACTAAAAATTGGTAATTAAGCAACAATTCATGAAATTTAAACATGATGTGTGCTATGTCCATGGGGATATACACTGATTTTTTTTAGGGACAGAGGCCATCATTTAATAAAAAATATTTTAATTTTCAATGAAAAAGGCAATTATTTAAAATTATATATTTAAAAACTAAAATATAAATAAAAATCTATGAAATCAATTGAAAAATTAGAAGGACTCAAAAATCAGTGAACTAATAAATTAAAATAACAAATTGACTTAAAGGCAATGAGGGGTATATTTATAAATATGTAAAATTACACTTTGGCCCTTGGTCATCTAGGAAATTAATTAAAATAGTAAATTGAATACTTAAAATCCTAATCATTAAACAAAATTAACTAGTAATATGAAAAGATTAAGTTAAAAGTTAAAATCAAATCCAAAGGAACTGTTTAGGGGTAAAAAATGAAATTATTCAAATTATAAAAAAAAATAATTATATGTCATAATGTACTAGTTAACTTATATAGCCTAAATCAGAAGACCAACCATTAATTCATTATGTAGAACATTTGGAAGGAAACTTAACTAAGCTTATAAGACATTTTAACACCACCTTAATTAAAATTGAATGATAATAATAACAATAAATAAAATAACATGAAGTGAAAAAAAAAACTAAGTATATCAAGATCTTAAAATACTGGAGAATCCAATTATAATTCACTAATAAAAATTTGAAGTAATTAAAAGTTCAATGAAACTTATAATTAAAAATAATTAGATTACATCCATTCTAATTTGTTAATCTTTACACTTAGACGCTTAAAAGGAAATTAAAATTTATAAAAGCTGGATTAATCTGATTATCAATTAATAAAATCTTAATAAAATATTCAAGATAAATGAATTTTTAAGATTAATATTCAATACTTTTAAATCTGTAGTAGATTTTCTTGCATGGCCTACAATCCGGATTTTAAACAAGAGGCATTACAAGGCTGTTACCCAATAATTTAATAGGGCCTCCATAATATTTAAGGACCGTTGTAGATAACTGCATTCATATTATATATGCTGAGGAGAAGCCCCCATGTTTCTAAAATCTGACTGGCCCAGCGTACCTTTTTATATATATGTGATTTTTTAGTGCGCCTAGGGTATTAGAAAGCTCTCCAACCTAGATGGGGTATAAGTCCTTTTTATGGAGCATTTCCAGCTTTATAGTTGAACATTTACTTCTCTTTTTTTTTAATACATCCTCGCCACTTTGGCAGGTACAATTCCCACCTTTTGGAGCTTCAGCCGTAGTCATAGGAAAGAATTTACTTCTTTTGATCTTAGGGCTACCGAGGTTCCTCATGGATGATACAATTTCTAGATTGTTGACTGGGGATCTCTAAATTTGTTCGGTCAACTACCTTCACAACCTAATAGACTTAAGGTATTAGTAGCTGTGCACGACGGATCTGTGGTAATCTAACCCAATTACCTCTACCTTTTAGGATCACTCTACCTTCCTGTTATAGAGCCCCTTTGAGCTCTATCGCTCATTTAACTTTGTCAATATTATCTTGATGGCCTGATGTTGATAAGCTGTCGCCTGTTTAGGATACAGTGTTTTTTTTTTCTGCACTTATGGCCCAGACGTGCTTTGACATGCTGGGATATCCTTGTCAAGATGTTAGAGGTTGTTCTGTGGGCTTCGTATGTCAATGAGCTACTACCCATTTGGGATATGAGAGACTCACTCTCTACTAATTGCTTGGCGCGAGCTTTGAAGCACCGAGACTTTCCCACATGAAATAACCTTCTTTTGATAACCTATTGCCTCAGGTTCATTATAATATAAAAAAAAACCCTTTTTTGAGAGTACTCTTGGTTATCCCTAGGATGTAATTAACTAGTAGGAATACGTTCCTCTAGAAGTGCACTTGATCCCAAAATAGGTGCATACACCTGACTCTCTGATTATGGGTAGTCTACGTAAATACTTCTTTCATCGATATGGGTTCTGTGTGCTTCCACCCGATCTTGTTTGG